TCTTTTGCTCAATTTTCCTGTGAATTAAGACAGTAAAATGATCGGAAACCTAAATGTGGGCTAGACAAGATTTGACTAGCTAGCAAGAGAGAAAACGATGCAAGACTTGTTGATTCTTTGCACAGGGAGTAGAACAAAACCTATTGCAATAGAAGTATACCTCCAAATGAAATATGAAGACACAAGAACTTATACAATATGGTTTTAGATTAAGAAGAAAGCAAGATGGAAAACAAGATGAGACACATATAGAATAGAAACTTGCAACCCTCTTTGGAGTATCTAATTTCTAACTTAATTTTTGTACTCCATCTCTTTAATCAGTTAGTGTTAAAACGATTAGTGAATTTGGTTCTTTGTCATTTTCATCTGTCCTAATGCACAAATCATACAAAAAAAATTTGACCACCGTGATGAATGAAGTTCGACATGCCAATTAATTTCTTTCGCTGTAACATAAATTATCCTTAAAATCATATCTTAATTTGATTAATATGCTATATAATTCATGCTGACTCTCTTAAGGTGGAACCATTAGTGCTGATTTTTATTGAAGGATGGATCCTAATAAGATCTCACATTGGAGCATAAAACATGAGGTTTCGGAGCATAGAACACCATGGCTCACAAATTCCTCCTACATGTTGAAGGTGCAGTGGATAAACATGTCAATCATTTTCGGTCGACAAGATTTCGTTGGTCGCAAGTAAATGAAAGATTGGAGTGATTGAAAGTAAAAGAAAGATAAATTACAAGTGCATAAACTTATCAGTGGCCATCTGTGACCCTACCAACTTCTCAATCATATGAAAGCATTGGACATTCAAATGCCCCTACCAACTTCTCAATCATATGAAAGCATTGGAGATTCAAATGCCTACAAACTAAGCCATACCTCTTTTTCCACTCTACCGTATGGATGGCAGCTATTCCTACTCAATTTTTGGTACACTTCCCTCGAATAATTCTAATTTACTCCCACTTGTCGTTGTGCACATCTATAATGAAAGCTAGTTGGGGACTACCAATGAAAGATAGTGTGATCCAAGCCAACGCCAACCTAAAACATCAGCTAGATTTGATGAAATCAAGTAAACAAATTAATCTTGCCCGTCACGATAGTCTAATTTAATGCTAATAATTAGCTAGAACATAGTCTAATATATAGGTTCCAAGGCGCATATCTATGACTATTGGGCAGGCATAATTGTTTTCCAAACATTGATCGACCAAAATAACGAATCCACAAGACATTCATTCGAATGGAGATCTCAAGGGGACTAAGTGACAGATTTGTTTTGCACAGTTCATATATATAAATGTAATCCTCTTGTAGTTTAGGGAGACAGATTTTGACATAGCCATAGTACTTCCCTCGGCCTAAGATTCTCTACTTCTTTGTCTTCCTGATTGGTCTTCCACCTAGAACAAAGGTATATGCTACCGATGTATGAACAAGATGTAGATTTCGAGCAGTTTCATAGTCCCATTTTCCCATTAAGAAGAAGGAAATAAAAGAGTTGATGCTGCAGGACATATGTGAACGACAAAAGGTTACTCGGAATGAACAGTAAATTGCTGAAGGGCTCCTGTTGTGCTTGGAACAGCTAACTCCTTGTTGATCAAGCTAAATCTTCACATCTTTCAGAGACCAAAGATCAAAAAACTATGTGCTGCCAGGTGTTGATGCTCACACACAGCTTTAATGAAGTCAACAAGCCCTACTAAATTGGACAGTGGATGCAGATTAAAGGTATAATATTCTTCTCCACCTACTTGCATTCTGCACCAGTGGACTCCTATCAGATGCCACCACCACAACTCATCTCCTAGATTGAATTGTTGGTACATAGTATCTTTTTTTTACATCAATGGATATATAATTGACTCCAGTAGACCATGAAAGAGATTCCCTTTGCAAGATTGTGAAAGCCAACTTGTCTGGTCCCATGCATTTGTCGAAAGACGTGTAAAAGGAACAATAGAGAATGGACAGCAAGTGACATACCAGCTGATAGGAGACAAGATTCTAAACAGGAAATTTATAGTTCTAATGTTTATTCGCATTCTTGATTCCATAATCAATGCCTTAATGGTCCTAATCGATCTAAATTAGGTTATTATTTCTAGTATTTTCAAACAATGGCTTGCTCGAGTAGCTAAGGTCGCATGTCAAGCTTACATACACTATGCATCACCGTGGTTATTTTTCTGCTAGCAAATTGATTAATGAAAGGTTGCTTACGTGAGCTGTGATATCATAATCTTTCCAAAAGCATTTTTCCGGAAGAGGGAAAAGAGGAACAAATACAATAAAAGTATTCTTACCTATTATTTGCACATCGGATCCGTATAAAGAAATCGGATCAATACTATGCCATTGAACACTTTAATGATTTGATGTATTCGGAGATGATTGTACACGATGATGAGTGTCCGTCCCAACACGGAGGAAACGATTGGTTGGTGTGCAGATGGTGTCACCACGGAACGTCCTTTTCTTCTGTGTGTTGTGGTCCAACTCCTATTCTCTTCGGCCGTCGACAAAATACATTTCCTCTTTTTTTATCCCTCCTCACATGTAAATATTTTTTGATATTATTTTCTATTCATGTGTGACTTAGTTATTTCTATGTTATTAGTAAGAATAGGTGGTGCAGTCCATTTTATTTCTATCGTAAATTTGACTTTGGTTATCAAGTTCGTGTTAGAATCTTGACTCTAATATAATGTTAGAAATCTATTAATGATGAGTCAGTTAGACTATTCAGAATTATGAGCTACACTTGTGGAACAGTTAGATTTAGCCGCCTCCGATTCCTCTGTGGACTTTGGATCCTCCATGGCAGTCGTCTCCTAATGCAGATGTGTTCAACAGCCCTCTGCAGTACCATGCAGACCCAAACTTGCAGTGACTATTAGTCTAACTTGTCTTACAGCTTTGGTGTGGGAGACAAAGATCCGGACATCACGTAGAACCGTGATGCATGTCTTGTGTGGTAAGATAAATCCTTTCTTTACCTTTACACTAAATGTTAGGACGAGGACTGTTAAGTTTCTGGATTGCGAAGAAGTCAACATGGAATGGCTTTCTTGGAGGTATTAGCACGCGCAGGTAAATACTATTACCACTTCAGAAGCTCTGACGAGCGACACCCTTCCACAGCTGCGTACCACCGAGCAGCCAAGAACAGTAGTACGACATTTTTGCCCGTAAGTTGCATCAATCCTTTGTTATGATTCATCTGCACTTCCATGATCCATAACATTGAGTTGAATATTCTTTAAAGAAGCTTTAAATGGCTTTTCAAGCTCCTGATAGCTTTGAATGCCTTTGGTGGTAACAAGTATATTCCTCAGCAGACATCTGCTCCATCACTGGGATGTATGTTTGACATTAGAGATGCCAGGAACTCAAAGATAGATAGAGGAGGATAAATGAATCTGTCAGGACAACAAAAGCCTCTTCCGATGCTTTAAGATCAGATGAGGAATGGTAAGAGATAAAAGGTGCTGAGACCCAAGCGGAGAGTTCACGGGTCTGTAATCGGCAGAAGGGCCTACAGCAGTACAGTTTACGCAGAAGAAAGATTCCCACAATTATGTGAGAGAGCGACTTTGAGTAGAACACAGGGGTATGTACCCTCTTGATAGGACGCAGACATGTGCTTCCAGAAACACACCTATCATCCATCAATGTCATGATACAATCAACCTAACATTCTTTTCTTCTTTTCTATCAATCTTTCTCTATGAATCTATTTTATCCTGCATATTTGCATGCATCCATGCCTTCTAATGTATTTCAAGCACTGATAGTAAATGCTTGAGCTGTGTTTAGCAGTCACTAAACTCTCAGGCATGATAATCTCTACGAAGGAAGGCTTAAGAACAAATAGCCCTTTAGAGCAGATTCTTTTCGTTTTCTTAATTTTCGCTGCTATGCTAACGCATCTTCTAATAAATTTGGCTGTGAATGGTAGGTGGACAAATCAGCTGCAGAACATGGATTCATGAGTGTACTTTATTCTTCTCCTTCTCAATGTAACTTGTGGATTTTAAGGTGGATAGACTATAGATAGCCTACTCTTACTGAAACCTGCAGGCTTGAGATCAATCTTTCTAATGGTAAGCCTACAAGAGAAGATTAAGCTTTTGCAAGCACTCTTAACTTTGCCAATTGTTTTCTACAGGATAAGATTCACAGTATATATCGATTTGTATATGCAGCACACTTTCTACTCTTCCTTAATGACAAATGCGTGTGGATATTTATATAGAGATGCTTCGGAAGCTTTAGGCAATCATATCGATTTGTATTGCTTTCCTTGCTGTGTTTGAGATCTTTTCTGTATCTTTGTTTTTGCATGTTTTCTCCCGGTTGTTTAGAATAATGGATTCTTCCTCATGTCGTCATTCTCTTTCTTCTCACTTATCATACTTCAGTGAGACGTCAAAGGGCCAACAGAGGACATTCCTCCACTCTGGAAATTGAAGATCGCATTGGCCCTGCAGTAGTACCAGTAAGGAAACTTCATCCAACAGGAGCAAGTCACCAGGATACCATCATCATACGTCTTGTCTCCATTACTATACTATGAAGGAGGACACAAATCCAACTATCGTTCAGTTAGTGTGTATGAGAGAGAGAGAGGGAGAGAACAAGGAGATCGCAATCTAACATGTCTAGTTCAGATGTGTACCATGACAATGTCACCCAGCTGAACCACTGTGGGTTTTGGGACTTGGAGGGCCGGCCACTTTAGAACATGAGCTCAGTGACTAACCTGTTGGGCTTTCTCGATGTGAGCTGCAGTTCCATATTGTTTATTTAATCTTTTGTATATATATATATATATATATATATATATACAAAAGCCACTCAGCAATACCAGAGTGGCTTGATGAGTCTTCAGCTTAAGAACCTACATCAGCAGAACGATTCATTTCTCAAATGAAATCATGTAATTTTGCTGATAAAGCATGCCAGTATACACACGTGAGCAAACAAATAAAAGGCTGGCAGAACTTGCAAAATAGGATCCCACATAATTATCATAAGCATATGATGAATCAACTTGCTGAAACTGGATTTATACTGAGGTTTCCTTTGCAAATAATAAATCAGATATATAGATAGTTCATTGAGCTATTCCAGGCAACAACATAGAAATATTCTAACCAAGGCATCAGCAGTTCCAAGTAGAACACAGCCTGGTTGATGCACCACCAAAACATTGCATCTGCTCTGACAAGAACAATTCATTCGATGACTGGCAATGCCTTCTTCTCCGTATGAAATATAGTAAGCTTTCTCTACGATCCCCAGATATATATTTGCCTACAAAGTCTTATCCTCCTTCGAGACGAAGCTTTTCCGAAACCCGTTCATATGAACTTGAAGCCCTGCATCCCTTAAAGCATTCAAAGCTGACTCGTGCAGCCGTGCATCCAAACCAGTCCCTGCCAACTCCATGTCCTGCAGCAGCTTAATCAACTCATCCAACCTACTTCCCTTTGAGAAGACTCCCACCATTATCCCAGCCATGGCCCTGTCCACCTTCCCACCATTCCCCTTAAACTCTTCGAAGAAGTCGATGCACTCATCGATTCTTCTGGCCTTGCTGTAGGCACTAATGATGCTTGTGTAGCTGACCTTGTCGGGTGCTATCTGCCTGCGTTTCATCTCCTGCCAGAGCTTCTCCACCTGCCTCAAGTTCATCAGTCTACCATGGATGTCTAGGAGAGAGTTGTAGACCCATACGTTTGGCTTGCAACCCTTCTCCTTCATCTTGGCGAGAAGCCTCATGGCATCCTTCACCTTGCCCATCTTCCCGTACATGGAGATCATGTTAGAGTAAGCAACAACACATTTGTCGAAACCTTTGTCTATCATTTCCGCAAAGGTAGACTCGGCCATCCGGGGGAGCCCCAGGCGGCAATAGACATTGATGATTGAAGCATATGTTACTTGTCCTGGTTCACACCCTTCGGACAACAGTTGCCCGTAAGCCGCCACTGCAGATCTGAGTCCTCTCTTTCTCACGAAGCCATTGATGATAGTGCAGAGTATGCAGTCCGATACCCTGATTTCCATCTTCCTCATGGCCTGCACAACCGCAAGGGTCTTTTCCAACTGCCCCACGTCCACAAACATCAGAACCAGTTTCATGAGCATGGCGTTGTCTCTCACCATGCCCTTGGCTAGTGCTTCTTGGAAGAGATCCTCCACTATCTCTGCTTCTCTAATCCCTGCAAAGGAGCTCATCAGTGAAGCATAGATGGCAGTGTTTGGAGACAGTCCCTTTGCTTCCATCTCCCTGAAGTATCTGAGAGCTTCGAAGGCTCTTCCTGACCTCCCCAGCGAATCACACAAGATCGAGTATATCTCGACAGACTTGGACGAAGCTTTCGACTCTTTGGACTCGTATTCAAGAAACAAGGCAATCACCTTCTCTGTCTCCCCCAGCTCTCGATATGCTTCGAGGATCCACCTGTAGCAGCTAGTATTAGGGGAAAGCCCGGCGGCCGTCATACGCTCGTAAGCCGAAACCGTGCAGTTGTACATGTGGAGCTGGTTGTAGCCACACATTGCTGCACTGAAAGCAGAGATGGCGGCCTCACTCCCTTTCTTGGATTCAAGAACTCCGAGCAATGCCTCTGCGAGCTTGAACTTTCTTGCTCTGATGCAGCTACCGATCAACCTAGCGCATGTAAATCGATCCGGAACCACACCAAAGAACCTGAGATCGTCAACCAGGGCCGAGATGGAGCTCCACTGCTTGGATTTGACCAAACTCCTAATGAGAAGCTTCAGGGTCCGTCGATCCGGCCGGAAAACCGGCAGCTCTTTCGCCTTCTGGTAATACTCAAACGCAACAGCCTCGGTCTGCAGATTTCTGCACACGCCCTGGATGAATTCATTCGTAATCTCGGTGCCCGCAGCAGGAGAGGCTTGCAGGGGGACAGAAGGGAGTGGGATGGCGTGGAGATCACTCGAGGCATCGTCGAGGAGAGGAGGGCTGGATTTTGAGAAGTTGAAGACTACAAATCTCTGTTTCCTGAAACGGAAGAAGAAGGTGGAGGAGCAGAGTTGGGCAGGGGAGAAGCTTTTAGGAGGAGGAATTGGAGCGAGAGGCCATTGGAGCACCATTTGGCCATTAGAAATCGTGTAGGGAGAGCTCATCTGCGCTCATAAATACCTTATCCTCTACTGGATGTTGTGGAGTATCAAGTGAGCGAATAGTAGAAGGTCACGTGGAAGCTGCAGGGACCGGTAAGATTCTGCCAGATATAGTGTTCTTCGCACGGGCACGGAACTGGCTTTACTTTACTTGCACATGTGGAGCACAGGAACCCGAAGCAATGTGCTCTAAGCCACTGATGACGCATTCGGCCCGACTTAATCACCCCTGAAAGGCCATCGTGGGTGATCTGAGAACAACATCGGCGTCGAAGCTCATCGACCCCAAAAACAGGAACTACATGGCATCGGACGGAGGCGGCTACTGCGAGGAATTCATGTACACGGTGACGGACGAGCTCGTCTCGATCGCGACGGTCGTTTCGCCTTGCAGAGAAGTCGATGAGCGGGTCGAGGAGGCGGAGCTGAGCATAGGGGTAGAGGAGGTGAGTCGTGTTCTTCTCTCTTCCTCTGCCCTTCGTGTGGATGCTGTTCTAAGGTTTTCTGTTGTCGCAGGCTCTCGCCTTGCTTAACGCGTCGCTGACCTCTAAAACGGCGCTCGCGGATGCCTTCTTGTCGAGGATTAGCGACGCAATGGCTGAGACGTGACAGTATCAATGCTTTTTGTATTTTATGTGACAAAATTTATGGTCCAACAAATGACAAGAACATAACATTGAGAAGAAACTTCATACTAGAAAATTGTCAGTGTGGTAGGGAAGACAGAACAGTGCGATGCAAGAGAAAACACACACAGCAGACCCATATTGAACTTAGTAAACAAAAAACCCTTCTTTCCTCCTCAAGGTGATTGATGATTCTAAAACAAAATACCACAAAGTAAGTTCATAAGGAACTGTATACTTACACACCCCTGTGCAGTGAATCTCAACAGAGAACAAAGTAGATAACAAAAAGTCAAACTTCCTTCACCATGTACAGCATCAGTTGTATATAAGTTATGAGAATTCCACAAGAAAAAAAAACCACCTCCTTTTTTATCATCTCTGTCATGTTTAGTAAGTATGAAGTCAATTAGAGGTAGTACCAAAGACTCTTCTTTGAGGTATAAGAGGTTGCTAGTTGTATCATGTTTGCTGTTTGCTCATATACTAGAGGAAGTAAAAGAAGAAATGATTCCGACAAAGCTTTATTTTGTGAATTCAAAGTATTCTCCCTTAAAATTTATAATAAATAAAAATAAGATAAACCAAATCTAACAGTCAGTCGAGTGCGGCACACACCTTCAGCCAAATCTTATACACTATGAATTGGTTTTACCAAGGAATGGGCATACTTGGGGTTTAACTCTATTAACTGCTTGCTAGATAAGTCCATGCCTTGAACATATTCTCAAGTGCAGAAGTGCACAAATTCAACTACTGATCACACAAAGTAGGGTAGTCAGACCTAATAGTGCCAGCAATGGTGCTGGTAGAAGTAATGCTGAGAGACAACAGCTGAAGTCAGTGTTGTATAACAGGGGCTTCACATATTCACGGATCACAAGTTCATGGACAAGCTACTGTACTGGCATATACTTCATCACAAGTATATGATGAAGTAGAAGAAAAGTCCCACTCTTATGACACTAAGTAATATCATCAACCTAGATGTTAAAGTTATTCAAATATGTTCTCCATCATATGAGATGATCAAATGAAACTAACAAATACGATGATATATGTTAAATATAATGTACAAGCACCACCAGTACTTAATCTTACATATAAATTGTTAATTTTGAGAAAATTATCTATATGATTTCGAGTAACAACACACTGAGTAGTTCCAGGTTTGGTTCAGACTCTATTTTTCAAAAAAAAATATAGACTATAATAAGAATATAAATCATGAATATCTGTTGACTAAGACACAAAAGAAATATATCAGTTTTATTATCTGATATTGGCGAAGAACTTCTCTCCCTCCCTATCAACTATTGCACACTATCTGCAGAAGAAGAAGAATTTCCACTCTTTTAATGTCACAAAATTCCTAAATATAGCAGCACATCAGAAATATTCCAAAGCTCTAGACCTAATATCTCTAAGTGTGAGGTCTACTGCACAAATTATGACCTAATTATTTCTCATCAATCCCTCTTCACTCTCTATATGCAGCTAACTAACTGCTGAAAACAAATTAAAAAGATTAATATAATCACACTCCTAGAAAACCACAGAAAAATAAGAGGGCAATGTAGCTCTGCCACTGAACATAAAAATCTAGAAAGGTGGCTGAATTTATTCAGATAATGCTACGTCGTTCAAACACATCCTTTATACACTTTGATTGTCAAGTCTTTGACAAGCATTTCACCTTACGCAATCAACTGGAGTTTTAACAGGCTTACATGCTATTACTTGTTAAAACAAATCATGTCTTTCTTATCATCTCTGTTGAGTCACCTGTAGTGCCAACCACTACCTCAAGGTAATTATGCACCTTTAGAAATCACCGTACACAAACAAGCATTTCCATAAACTGTTAACTACAATGATGTTAGTCCAAACAATCTGAAAATGAAGACTCTTGTAGCTTGATAACCAAATTCCATATGCACTGAAAGAACAGATGAACCCCAATCAATTCCTACATGCACTTGGTGCAGAAAGATTCTTCCCTACATGCAAGAAAAAAAAGCGTACCAAGCCAAAAAATTAAGCAATATTTCAAATTGTATCCTCTTAACTTTTTCGTATAAACATGAGTTGTCATAGAAGTTGTCAAACCCTACCAATTACCACATGCACTTGATGCAGAAATGTTGTTCCCTAAATTCAAGAAAGAAAAGAGTACAAAGCCAAAAATTATCCAATAGCTAAAATTGTATTGACCAACTTTTCATCCAGAACCTTAGGAGTTATAGCAGCTGTGAAACAGAGGAAGTAACCCTGAACCATTCAAGTCCTCAAGCAAGAGACGCTTACCTCTGCAATTATTCTAGACTTTCATCTCTACTGGCAAATAAAAGCGGGCAATTTAGGCCTTCGAATCTAAGAATCTCCTGTGCTGAACAGGTTCATCCTCGATAGCGGTGTCTGCAAGTATGCATTCACCTCAAACTTCCTCGGCGAAAGCTCATGGTACTTGGAGAACTTCTCTCTCGCCTGCTTGTTTTTACCCAACAAGCTATAGATCACTCCCTGGCAGAAATAAGGCCTGTAATCCTTGGGATCCTCCTGCGCCAGGCCTTCGTAGCTCGACAGCGCTTCATCTACGTTTTTTTGCAAGAACTGTATCTGGGCCATGATTAGCCGCACGTCCCTTGCGGCCTTCTCCTTCTGCTCGGCCTTTGCGAGCTCCAGAGCCTGTTCCAGTCGCTGGATCACGGCGTCCCCTTCACCGCACCGGTCCATGAGGACGGCGTTGTCGAAGAGAGCCTCGAAGGAGAGGGGGTCAACAGCGAGGATCTCCTCGTAGAGGCGGCGGGACTCGGAGGCCTCGCCCATCTCGTTGAGAAGCCGCGCGGCCAGGAACTTCCACTCGGTCTCGGCGGGCTGAGCGGCAATAAGCCGCTGGAGGATGGCAAGGCCCTCGGTGTCGTCCCCAGCCTCAAGCTTTTGATAGAGCAGGGAGCGGAGTGCGTCGACGCCGTCGGAGCTGGAATCGAGGAATCGGGAGAGGACCGAGGGGTCGGATTCACCCTCGGCGACCGGGAACGCGGTGGGGTCGGCGCGGGCGATCGGCGGGCGAATGCTAGCGGAGACGAGGGCTGCGGTGGCAGTGGCCAGGAGGACGGCGCCGGAGACGGCGGCACGGACGTGTCCAGAGAGCGGAGCGAGGGGGTTCGACCCGGAGGACGAAGCCTTCGCCACGGGAACCCTGGAAACCCTGGTTTTGGCGAAGCGGAGGAGTTTGGGAGAAAAGGACGATCGCGTCAGGAAGGGAGGAAGAGGAGAGAGGAGGGCTCGGCCGCCATGGACGGGGGCGGAGACGATGAGGGAATCCATGGCACAGTGTCGCTTTGTTTTGGGTTTGGGTGGGCTTTTGTTGTCCAAGGGTTTTGGTGCACGAGAGACGATAGGTCCGAAGAATAAAGGAAAGATGAGGGCGTATTTTAGGTAAGAAAAGTCAAAATTTTGACCACGTGATAGCCACCGCAGCGGACAAAATAGATAGAAATTTATTTCTTTTCTTTAAAGAAAAAAATATTTCAAAATTCAATAAAACAACTCTCTTCGAAGCACAAAATAGATAAAAACTCAAAGATGTCAATTTCCATTCTAGATATGGTCTAATTTGAAGTACCTGACGCAAGATGCTAAGAAGTGGAGATTGCTTTCCATCCCACATGATTTAGGAGGAATCATAAAATGTGTTTCTCCACATCTAGAACATCCAGCATCACTTTTGATGCATCAAACGACTAGAAACCTTTGAACCATCCTCACTTTTAGACACACAAATTCTGTCTCAGTTGATAAGATGCATCAAATGTCTAGAAATCCGACATAAATGTTGCATTTTAGCAAATAGTAATTTTCAGATCTAAACCTCTATTGGATAATATGCAGCATTGAAAGGATAAAAAATAAAGACAAAGAATGATGTTATGATTTCAATTTAACAACACAGCAAGAAGATTACCAAGCTTTACAACATCACTGAACCTAGAGAAAAAGAATTATTCATAGAAGCTTGAATTGTTTGCTTCAAACAAGTTTGCACTAGGAGCACCAACTCCAGCAAGAAAATGAAGAAGGAATTCGACCAGTTCTTCTAATGTAGTCGGCTTGCTGAGCAATTCTTGCAGCTTGTTGATTTCTTTTGGCTTCCGCTGTGGCACGCTTTTCCTCGGCTTTGTGTCTTACAGCTGATAGCTGGTTCATCAACTTCTCATGGGCAGATGCCCTCATTCTTTCAACCTCAACCTGCAAATCGATGTGCAGCACCGTGTCACAAAACTTTGATCACAGATAAATGGAAACCGGCAATAGTCCCAAAGCAAATGCAGTAAACATGGGTTTTCCTGAATAAGCAACGTATGTGTTATGCTTAGTTCACCTTGATATAAGTTTCAAGTGATGGAGAAAGACTTGGAGAAATGCTGAGTGCCAGGACAGAATTGAAGCAATGCAAGTGCCACTCCAGCAATTGTAATGGTTCGAAGCTTGTGCTTCATTTAACATGATGGGAATGATTGCAACTCTCTTCATACCATGTCAGTTTGGTGAAATCCAATGATTTTGCACTCAAGGTCAACATCTTAATACTCATCCAAAAAATATAGTATGGTTTGGCAAATCAAAAAATAAAATTTCCATTTATCACTGTTGAGGCAATTTTATCAACTTGAAACCGAGCAAGTTCAAAACAAAATAAATGGCATATTGGCCATTCAAAGAACTCACGAGAAAATTGATTAGTGTTGCTACAAAACGCAAATTTAATTACTTGTTTATACATGAATACAAAGTGTTTATCTGAGAACATTTGGATGCAGGTGCTGATTTTGGTCGCTTACCAGCATATATACAGAATACAGATCACTTGAATTAAGCTTAGAAAATGATTTAATGCCAACAATTTTCTATAAGAACGTATTTTATATCTCCCATGAGATATTTTGGCATGTGAAAATTTACATGGAAATTTGAATTATGTTCAAAGGCAAACGAGTGTTAAACTTAACCACAGAGTTGGGACAGCATAGTTAATCTTAGAGACTTGAGTTTCAACCTATAAATACTATATATTGCTTGTCCTATCTTTACCAAATATGTGTTGGACGCAATACTATTAAGATATTTGGAAAATGTTTGATACTTCCATCCACAAAGTATCCAATTTTTAGTCAGTTGTTATAAAGATTGAAAAGCATATCATACCTCGATCTTCCTCATTTCGGCTTCAATTGTTGCTTTTTGATGATTTTCCCATGCTTGGATTTTGATTTCTTCTCGTCTAAACCTGAGGAATTAATTGTCTTTTATAATGTAAAATTTATGAAAGTAACTATGGAAACAAATATCAATGATCAGCCGGTTTCCTTAGAGACTAGAGGAGAGAAATCCTAAGGAGCAACATGAGTATATTTGAACAATACTACCTAGCAAGATACTTGGCCTTTTCTGCTTCTTCCCAGGCTGTTGCACGAGCTTCAACAACACTTATGGCTGGCTGGTCTTTTGAGACATTCTTAGTTGAATTAGATGCATTGATTTCCTCATCCTTGCTGGCCCATGCAGTTATGTTCGTTTTACCCAATTGCTGGCCTAAAACCAGTATTTCCCTTCTAGTTTCCCTTTGTAGTTCCTTTTCAGACGATTTCTTTTTGTTAAAATCCTCATGGCAATCAGCTGAGTCAGTCTGGGTTGAAACTGGAGCTGTTCTTTGTGGAGTTGGTGGCCGGGACGAAGTTGGGCTGCAAATTGGTGAAGTTGCCCCCACAGGAGTTCCTGTCCGAGAAGGTTCTTGACTTGCAATAGGAGTCATTTCTGTGCCCATATCTCTCATGGACACGGACCTAACAGTTGGTGCAGGCATCATAAATGATGTAGCACTCTGAAGAGATGTTGATGAATCATGCCAACTAAGATTGACTGCAGAAAGTTAAAAATAAAACGAACATTGTTATATGTAGAATGGATCAATGAATACAATGAACAAGTACAGAGATAAAAATTCCAAACATACGCTAGCAATCACCTGAATCATACAAGAATATTTAAGTACTACTATCAACATATAGATCTCTCGAGTTTAAAAGTGAAAGCAACTTCATTTCTAAAAATTCACAACTTCAAACTAATCTACTATCAAGAATATATGTCACTGAGATTGAATGACATTTATCACTTTACTGGACTCATTTTTGCCATGTCATCATGGAGATAAAAAATGAAGTAATTTGGATCACAAAACAAACAAGCTACATATGGTCTGGAGCATACCAAGCATAACATGAGGGTAAGTACAAGGTATCAAATCCTGCAAATAATTTATGTTATCTTGTCAACCAATGTTAGTGTTTTCTATATTTTGCACTACACAAATGATCCTTGAGTTTTTGGTGCACTATGTGTCAATCATATAATCTGCTATTAGAGATGCCTGATATAGAATAACCTGATCAACCAACAAGGATTATGGCTACTACAGTTGTATAAAAGGTTTTAGGCCAGGGCACATGTTATAAAATGGATTGTGTGAGACCTCATTAATTATATGACTACAAATGCATAATTTTAATTAAAGAAAGAGTTTAATGTTATAAGAAGACATGGAAATTAGGTAGAAGACTGGGTCAAAAAAACAAAATATGTTTCATAATGTGACAAGGTATAAATCTAGGCTGGAATACCATAGTTGTGATTTCCATGGCCCTGCCAGAGACTAAATCTTGAAAACTACTCTTAAACTGCTCCTGGTCCCACCAATGCAGGGCTAAGGGACGGTCAATTAATCAGCCTTACCCTAGCAAGCAGGGAGACTATTGCCATGGCTCGAACCATTGTCACCTAGATCATAAGAGAACAACATACCATGACAAGAAGGTTCAGCCTCTACCAAAAATCAACAATCAAAATTAGAATAAGGAGTAAGAAAACATGAATACAAAAACAGCTTAATTTCTTTTGGATGTTAAAGTTCATATAAAAAAAAAGTTTAAAAGGATGATGGAGTTGTAAGTTGGGGTCATTTGTAAAATGCTGAGATGGTTAAGTAGCATTTGGAGAAAAACTAAACGACATAGCACATTACCTTGTAAAATGCACTAGCATTAAGTTGCTTACGAAGGTGTTTAAAATGTTTGGATGAGTGCTCATATAAGTTTGGATGTGTTTGATGAATAAAACATAGCACACTATGTTGGAAGAGATTTTAGTTCAAGTTGGAGGTTCCATAAGGGGAAGACCATAGTGCTACTTTTCTTCCCAATCGACAAGTCCAAATTATTTTCTCTATTGAGATATTTGAGTTGGTAAGTGCAATGTTGCACAAGTGATATGTCTCATGTTTGAGTCCACGTGTCTGTACGCTATTTGATATAATGAAAATTTCTTCAATTTTTTTTAAAACCAAGTCTGGATTGCCCTAAATCAGCCAAAATCGGCAGAGTTCAGATCAAGTCTACTTAATTCCAAATGTGTCAATTTCCTGTATCAGCAACCATGCCAGGTTGACACGGGTGCTGTGCAATAGTGCTGGATCTGAGCACATTAGATCTCACTACATGCTAAATTAAGTATATGGCAAGATACTGAAAAAGAAAAAAAAATAAAGGAGCAAAATTGTATAGATGATCGTAAAGAACAATGGTAGGACTACAACAAAATCCATGGAGGTGGTGGTGTGTAAAAAACCAGTGCGAGCAATGGCTAGGGTATTATCATGGGGCTACCGAAGCGAATTCTGAAACGACAGATTCTTTTTTTTTTATTGATTTGATTGCAATTCAATAAAAATATCTAAGAAGCGACAGATTCTTGGCTGTCAAGGAACAAAAATAATACGGAGGCATATAAAAGCAAGGTTGTAGAATTATTGAGTTAACAGCGACAGATAATTGTGCTAAAGAAGTCTACTTGAGTTAACACTGTTGAATTCCTCCCTGGTGTCTGTTAGAACTAGATCAACAAAAAAACGTAATGACGCAGCATTTGACAACTTAAAATTTCCAAATATGACAAACTTGCAAGTGTTGTTGGCTGATAGTTCTTCACTAGGACATAAAAGAGGTACTGTGGTTGGTGCTATAAAACCGAAGTCATAGAGAATGCAATCTATATCACTGAAAGCATGTTTTAACCCAGAAATGCCAAATGCAGTAGTTCTTTGTCTAATTTTGTAACAAATCCTTTTTTTTAACCTTGTTTTGTTCGTTCCCTAGGCAGAGAATTTCTGAGTTGCTTATTGATTTGCAATCAAAATGACAATGCCTGCAAACCATTATGCGGATGAATTGGCAACTACTTCATGTTGTAAATGTTCCCAATGATGATACAATGTAACAAGAAAATGAGGAGGAAAAGATCATAAAAGACCTATCAATTACTTTGAAGCATAAGGTGCAGAGTTGAGAAGATCAACTAGAAGACAACAAAAGATCGAATAGATCAAGATTACCAGCAGAATCAACCACTGAATTCTCCACAGCAACTCCAAGCTTCATCCCTGAATCCGGAACAGGACAAGGCTCGGCCAGCCAATTCACACTCTTAATCTCACCGACTTTCTTGCTTGCTTGGCACCCGTCCACCCTCTTGGTGTCTACTTCCTCCACATCCAAGACAACCTTCGCCGCTGCATGTCGGTTCATGTGTCCCGCCAGACTACCCTTCTTCGGCTGCCCTCCGCCGGCCTTACTTCCCCCTCGGTTAGTTGTCGGGCTGGCAATCCACTTCTGTGCATCGTCCCATTTCGATGGCGCCGGCTTCGAGAACGGTGGCACGAACGCTGCTGCGGCGG